CCCACGGTGGGGGAGGAGGGTTGCCAGTCGGCTTGGGGACACAGAGGGACAATTGCCAAGAAGGGGAAGCTTCACCTGCACATTTCCCTTTGTGGATGCCCACCTCACCCTAGACTTTATTAGCCATGGGCTGCTATTTTTATCTTCAGCTGCCTGGTTTATATGCCCTGAGTTTCATAGGACCTTATCAGATGTCCACAACATGCAAGGAAAATACCAGGAGGTTCCAAATCATTGCACTTCACTGCGGTTATTTTAGGGTTAGCAGTGGAACATACAACTTCAAAACCATGTGTTTGATCTAGGCTATCCTTTGGTAGCTTAACTTTCATCAAAGTTGTGTCTGATGGACAGAAACCTCAATACTTAACACAAAATGGAATGTTTCCACGTTCCCATTATTCCCCAGCTCAAAAACTCAACAGGTTCCATTTCTTTCAACTATTTAACCACCAAATGGAAGACAGGAGAAAGATCCCTAAAAACTACTATCCTCACTGCAACCATTCACGGAGCACCTCCCATATTCCCAGCACTTTTTCTATTCACCAGGTATTATAAATATATAACCTCAATTCTTAAAATTCCGTAGAGCTAGTACTGTCTCATTTTTATAAATGGGGACAGTCTGAGAAAGACTGGTCCTCATGTGTAAGTTCCCACAGCTAGGAGTGGATCGACTTAGAACTGTTGGATTCCCAATGGCAAATACTATTAACACGGTTTCAAAAAGCAAAGGACTTCAGCAGTGAATGTAGGTCTTCCTGTATGACCTACTGCCAGGTCTATCAGCAGCAACCATCCCCTTCAGCTCAGAGGCTGAAGGCTTAAAAAGAGCATTGACAATGAATGAGTAGTTTAATTCTATAATGTATAGTACGTGAGTTTGCAATTCTCTTATCAAGCTTTCAAAGTTCAAAATAGATACTGACGATAAAAAACAAAAACAGCCCTAACCGGTTTGGCTCAGTGGATAGAGCATCGGTCTGCGGACTCAAGGGTCCCGGGTTCGATTCCAGTCAAGGGCATGTACCTTGGTTGCGGGCACATCCCCAGTGGGGAGTGTGCAGGAGGCAGCTGATCGATGTTTCTCTCTCATCGATGTTTCTAACTCTCTATCCTTCTCCCTTCTTCTCTGTAAAAAATCAATAAAATATATTTTAAAAAAAAACAAACAAAAACAAATAAAGAGGGATAATCTGTAATATGGAGTTGTGATAAATACCAAGGACACAATAATGAAATAGGTGTAACCTTTGCTTCAGTGATGAGCTATCACATCAGAGATGTGAAACAATGTGCTAATGGTATTAACAGGGAGTCATGGGACCATGGGACCATGGAGAATTTAACCTGAAGTGATGTTTTGCTATATTTCATTTCTATTTTTCCTGAAATTGAATAACTTGATGTTCTTATTGAAAAGGTTACTTACATTAAATCTTCCTGCAGAGTAGGAATATGTCAAAATGACTTTATTGCTCAATATGTTGAATTATATAAGAATAAACTATAATATACTGCATTATAAAGCCTTAGCACCATTGTGAGCCACGTGAGTCACTCAGAATCACAGAATTCTGGAGTTTGCAGAATCCTCAAAGATTGTCCGTCTCTCTGGTATTAGAAGATCCTCAAGAGAGGGAATTGAACCTCATGATTCTGTTGACCCACCTCCCTCATAATTTGGTTCATTACTGGACACCTAACACACACTGGTAGGAGTGACTGCAGAAAATATTATTTTTCTGAAATGCATTTAGAATTTCTAAATCTTGCAGAGACAAAGGAAAAAGATGATTTTTTAAATTAGTTAAACTATTTATTAGCTGTCTGAGTGGGAAGAATATTGCAGAAAGATATAATTATAAAACCTGAATATAGCTGGCATCCAGCCTAGAGTTTTCAGCCTGTTTATAAAACATGCCAGATATCAGATGGTATGCAAAGGGTAATGTGTTAATAGCAGATAGCCAAAACACTGGCTGCAATTTCTAGGAAAGACTAAATAATTTTACTAAGCTTTTGGCAGAGCTGTTCTGTAACACACCATTTCTCTTTAAATCTGCTTAGAAAAAGAAATGACTTGAAATACATGAGGAACGTTTAGAACTTTCATTTTCTACACAAGGGAATATAGATATGGAAAGCATGGTACCAAACACCAGAATGTTCATATTGTGAATGCAAAACCCCTAGTTATCTACCCCCTCTCCAAAGTGTAATCCTATGAAATGTGGAGTTCATACAGTCTAGAACCTGACAACTAGAGAGGAGAGACAAAGCAGTTTCCAGAAGTGAGAGCAGCAAAAAAAATGGGAGGAAAATGAGAAACAAAAACCAGATTCCCGAGGTTCTGCATTGCAACACAATAACTGTGTCCATAAAAATGATGCTTACCTCTAGAAATAAGAAAAATCTCTAATAACTACCTAATCCTACAATGAAAAGAATTAGAAGGGGAAAAACAAGAAAAGTCCAGAGTAAGTAGAAGGAAGGAGATGATAAAGATCACAGTGGAAATAAATGACATAGAGACCAAAAAAACAATACGAAAGATCAATGAAACCAAGAGCTGGTTCTTTGAAAAGATAAGCAAGATTAATGAACCTCTAGCCAGACTCATCAAGAAACAGGACCTAAATAAATAAAATCAGAAACAAAAGAGGTGAAGTAATAGCTGACACCACAGAAATACAAAGGATGCTAAGAAAATACTGCAAAACAACTATATGCCAACAAATTGGACAAATTCCTAGAAACATACAATCTTACAAAATTGACTCAGGAAGAATCAGAAAATCTGAATAGACTAATAACAACTAATTAAATTGAAGCAGTAATAGAGAAAAGGAGCAAAGTAAATGCTACGTTATTATATAGAGGCTTAGATATCACTGCTGTAAATTCCCATCAGTGTAATTTATGCCAATCTTTCTAAAGGTTTTTGTTTTTTTTGACATCCCCTTAAAGATAAATTACCTCCATATGGGATCATTCTTCTCTCATAATCTGTAATGTTGTATCTCAAGTGTGGGTTTCAGTGAAGTAATAAATAGTTCTATTTTACTGTCTCAGCGACATTGCTACAAACAAATCGGCATCTATTAATCCTACTTCCTTTAGCGACACAATAACCAGGCCCTTCTGAGATTAGGAAGAAAATCAAATTTCAAAGTCAAAACCACATTCCAAATTTCTTAAAAGATTTTTCTTGTTCAATTCTTTTGTAGAAACATTGGTCACCATTTAACATACAGTGGCAACAAAATGCACCCAATTTACATGCATCAAGAAGTCAATAAATCATCATACATGGACAACATGAATTTTAAACAGACAGTACTAAAAAGTAGCTCATGTTGCATTTAACCACAGTTATGGTGCTCTCAATAAAGAAATAACTAATATGAGAAATAAGAATTCCAGTTTCAATCTGAAATAAGGTTCTTGGTAACAAGTAACATAAAATAATAGTTACATAAAGTAATTATCTTAAAGGGAACCATTTCTCAGAAATCATTTTGTGCAGAACACAAAGATCTTGGAAAAATGTGTATCTTAGGTTAAGGACAAAAGGGTGCCATTTTTTGAAAATTAATTAATTACCTGAATGATGCAAATTTTTACTGTGTCCATAAATTAAAATGTCTTTCAATATGAAGATTTTATGTTACATGTTTTGACACCTTAAATAACTTTGCAGATGTTCAGCTGAACTGAAAGATTCTGTAGGACTAGATTATTTTCAACAGGAAGAAAAACACACAACAGTAATCAAAAGCCCTTTCTAAACTCACAGGCAGTTTCTGGATATGGGATTTAATTAATAAAGAAAAATTTAAGCACCACAATAATATGCTTTTTTAGAAAACAGAAAGGACTGGCGATATACAAGTTAGGGACAAAAGCACATAAATATTTAGCAAAAAAAATTTTTAATAAGCACTTTAATCCTCTCTCCTGAAGAAATAAAAAAAAATTTTTTTTGGTGTGTGTATAGTACTATGTGAAAGATACAAACCACAATTCTGTTTAAGATATCAAGTTCTATTCTAATTTGATCAAATGAGACTGTCATACTATTTGTACATAATGAGAATGGTATATGTTTATCTTTTCATTGTTTGATTTATGTTTTTCCTTCTAAAATCTATGATTAAGGGATAGCACTAAATTATTTTGAAGTGCACTGAAGCGAATTTATGGTAAATTGCCTTGTGGGGAAAATCAGTTCCTTTGTAAAAAGAGCTCAAAGTAAATATTTGCAAATAAACTTTTAAAATAAGTTATAGCTGTAAATACAGCCATCTTATAAGTTTCCCTTCTTTTGCGTCTATTTACCAACTTTAATAATTTCAGCAACCCAAATAGTAATTTTAATTTCAGTTTTTCTACTCCATAATGTGTTTTTTTAGCATGTGTAACAGGCCACATGCTAACAAACTTTAAGGGTTCATAAAATTAAAATTTATGATTCCTACACGGTTATACTTAAGTCAGATATACAAGATTGGAATAAATAACTTCAACCTAGAATCTGATTTAAATACCACAAAAGAAGAAAAAAAGACCAAAAAGAAAAAAAAAGATTTTAACTCATGTAACTTTTGACTATTAGACTATATGTAGCAAAGAGTGAAATATAAAATATTTTTGCCTTACCAGTGTAGTGCACTGGTTGAGCATCGACCTGTGAAGCAGGAGATCATGGTTTGATTCCCAGTCACAGCACATGCCCAGGGTTGCGGCTTGATCCCCAGTAGGGGGGCATTCAGGAGTCAGCGATCAAAGATTCTCTCTCAATATTGATGTTTCTATCTCTCTCTCCCTTTCCCTTCCTCTCTAAAATAAATTTAAAAATATACATATACATATACATATATATATACACGTATACATATATAATGTGTGTGTGTATATATATATATATATAATATTTTTCACCTCAAAAGAAGTTATCCAGAAGTAAAATTCACTAAACAAGATATACATCAGGATTATGAATAGGAAGTACTCAGACTCATTTAATTCAGATCAAAAGACATTTTGGAGGGAACAAATCCTTCCTGTACAATATAACTTGTATCTCATTAACCTTACAAACATCCTTTCAGCTTCACCACTTATCCCATAAACCTTCTTGGCAGTTCCCATTTTCTATTTCTCTAAAAAAATTTATTTAGCCTCTTAATTTTCAAGTGTCATGTCAAACCCCTTAGTTCACTCTAATTCCATAATCACCATCGAAAAGAACCCACAATAATAATTTTCTTCCTCTCATTAGTCAAAAATCACCATGTAATGATGCAAAATTGAGAAATTAAAAGTAAAACAATCCATTCGAAATAATATACTTAAGATATATGGTTGCCCTAACCGGTTTGGCTTAGTGGATAGAGCGTCGGCCTTTGGACTGAAGGGCCCCAGGTTCGATTCCGGTTAAGGGCATGTACCTTGGTTGCGGGCACATTCCCAGTCGGGGGTGTGCAGGAGGCAGCTGATCGATGTTTCTCTCTCGTCGATGTTTCTGACTCTCTGTCCCTCTCCCTTCCTCTCTGTGGAAGATCAATGGAATATATTTTTTTTAAAAAAGATATATGGTTTTATGTAGTACGAAGACCACATAACTGCTCATTCTGATTGACCTCTGGCACTTGAGACAAGAAATTAGAATGAGTAACAGAAACTTAAAATACTTAAAGTCTGCATCTGTTTTGAATAGATGTGGGAGTAAATAAAAGTGACCGAAATTATATGATTATGAATGTTTTCTGTGAAACAGTACAAAATTGATGTTGCCAGAAAGCGAGTAAAAAATCTTCAACTGACAACAAATAGCTTATGTAATTTGGAAAAATCTTAAGGTTGAATTGTAACTATAGGGAACACAACAACAGAAAATGTTTTCATGCATATACACATTACGTAACAAATAAGCAAACCCCAAGTCAGTACAATACATCAATGACTGATAAATGATATTTGGATATATAAAGAAAGAGAAGGAAAAGATAAAATGTTGACTGCCGTTGATGAAAAAGCACTTCAACAATTTACACAAAATGATACTAAACAGTTTTTTTAAAAAGATGTCCTAAGAAAACCAAGCCACAATAAGTTAGTGTTTTCCATAATACATGCTGAATTATTTGATCCCATATCTATACACTGTTACTGTCTTAATTCCTAAATGTTGTGACAGCATATTTAATCATTGAGGTACATTAGTTTACATCTTTTATAGGTACTCTACGAGGGTTAATTTTTCTTTTCCAGTTTTTCATCTTCTTCACCTACTCCCAAGAAAATCAAAGGAAACATTCCTAGAATGCAGCCAATAGTCACCCCAACAGCTTTGCCCTAAGGAAACAAAACAAAACATTTTTGAAAGTTATTTTATTGCTGTAAGAGGAATCCTTGCTTAAGTATCTATGATAAACAATTACTATCCTATATAATAAAAGCCTAATATGCTAAGTGTCCGGTCGTCTGGTGACCAGTTGACTGTTCAACCAATCAAAGTGTAATATGCTAATGATATGCTAAGACGGCTCAACTGCTCACTATGACGTGCACTGATCACCGGGGGGCAGTCAACTAGTCGACCAGTCGCTATGATGTGCACTGACCACCAGGGGGCAGATGCTCCAACTGGTAGGTTAGCTTGCTTCTTGGGTCTGGCCGATGGGGACTGAGCGAGATGGGCCGGGCATGCCCTGGAGCCCTCCTGCGGTCCCTCCCCGCCCCCGATCATGCACTGGTGGGGTCCCTTGGCCTGGCCTCTGCCCTCTCGCAAACCAGGACCCCTTGGGGATGTCAGAGAGCCTGTTTCAGCCTGATCCCACAGGCCACTCCCCTCGGGAGGGCGCCAGATGCAAGGCTCATGGCTGGCAAGTGCTGCTACTACAACTCGAGCCTCTCCCGATCAGGACTGATTGGGCGCGAGCCCGTGGCAGCTGCAGTGGGGCCGGGATGAGCAGGAGTGGCAGGTAGGAGCTGCAGGCAGCATTGGACTGCAGGTTTTGGCCCAATCCCCGCAGGCCACCCCAAGGGACCCCACCTGTGCATGAATTCGTGCACCAGGCCTCTAGTGTACTATAAAATTCAACTGTGACTGCATGTCTTTTGATCATAATAACCGAAATATAAAAATATGCTACAAAAATATTCTAGAAGAAATGATATTTAAAGTTCAAAGCAACCAGGAAATTTTTCTTTTATCAAATTGCCATAAAAATAACATCAAAGAATATTCAAGTAGAAAACAGTCAGTGAGTTCCAACACGATTTTCTCAATGGGGCAATATGGTCAGTAGGGCAGAGGAGGAGGAAAGAAATGAGCCAAACCAGCTAGAGCCAACCAGCTAGGGCCATATTTTTCCATCATAATAGTTATATATATATATTACTAGAGGCCCGGTGCACGGATTTGTGCACCGGTGGAGTCCCTTGGCCTGGTCTGCGGGGATAGGACCAAACCTGGATCTCTCACGTCCTCCAGGGTGTCCCAGATTGCGAGAGGGCACAGGCAAGGCCGAGAGACCCCACTGGTGCATGATGGGGGCCGGGGAGGGACTGTGGGAGGGTCCAGGGTGTATCTGGCCTATCTCGCCCAGTCCCAATCGGCCAGACCCCAGCAGCAAGCTAACCTACTGGTTGGAGCATCTGCCTCCTGGTGGTCAGTGCATGTCATAGTGACTGGTCAAATGGTCGAACGAATGGTCGGACACTTAGCATATTAGGCTTTTATTATATAGGATTATCGGGTCTTATAATAATATTAGGCCCTATAGTTAATTATACTGGAGCTAACCGAAGACTTGAGTATATCTGTAATATTATGCAAGAAGATATTTTCAGAGTTTCAAACAACCAAATTACAAATAAGGCTTTAAAATACAACGTATGTCAGTTAGAAACTACATGTGTACTGGCATATATTCTATTCTAGGTAAATTTCAGAGTTAGCATATGTTATAACTAGATGGCTGATCACTAACTTCAACCACTACAGGCTGTTTATAACCAAATGTTATGTTACAGAATAGAAGATTTGACCCTAAGACATACCAAGCGGAGTCAACAACTGAGGAACAGAATCCATATGCTTATGGGGTTTTATCAATAAACATACAAACAAGTACATATATGACAGTTTGGTGTGTGACGTGCTTTTGTTACAGAAGGGGGGAAATGGACCTGCTCATAATATAGAAAGAAAACAATTATAAATTATGTCAGAAGAGAAGGCCCCAGGAAATAATCTTATCTTGATCCCAACTGTTATGTTAAAATGTTAAGCCAAATTCCTAGAATGTTAGAATATCCTTACTCCTCAACAACTCTGGCTGATTGATATTAGCTAACTAATCTCACTTCAATTGATCTACAAATTGCAGGATATGGACACACACACACACACACACACACATAATTTTTTATGCAGCGACAGGTCTAAGGTAGAGCCTGAGAATTTGCATATCTAATCAGTTCCCAGTAATGTTGATCCTGCTGGTCCTGGCATCGCACTCAGAGAACCACTGCCCAATGCAATCCCCTTCTCACCTGGCTTTCACCGTCGCCAACGTTTTCAGTGAGGGCTGCGGTGACCCTCCGATTTAGTATTGCAATCTGTCTCCATTTTAGCACTCCCAACCTCTTTTACTCTGCTTAGCTTTCCTTTTTTTCTTTAATTTCCCATAACACTGTGAACTTCTAATATTCTAACTATTTAACTTCTCAAGTTTTTAAAATTGTTTCTTTCTCCTCACGCTGCTAGAACTTAAGATCCACCAGAAAAGAAAAAAAAAGATCTTGTTTTATTAACCAATAATATCCAAAGCTCCTAGGTCTGTGCCCTGCATATAATAGGTTAACAGTAAATATTTGTTGAATTAATGGATGAATGATTACACCCACCATCTCTAATTCAATCCTCTCCAACTCTTGACCTTTAATCCAAATGCCTACTCGGTATCACTGCTTGAGTGTTCTACTAACTTCTCAAATTCAGCGTGTCCAAAATAGAACTCATTCTCTTCCCTTACAAAAGTTGTTCTTCCTCCTCTTCTTAATTGGTAACACTGATCCATCCAGTTTCCTTCCTATTTAAAATAGCACTCCACCACCTAGGTATGGGGTTCAAGCTCTTTTGCACAGTTTATACATCTACAGAAAAATGCCTTTCCTGTCTGATCCATTCTTACATCTCCCATGTTGTTTTCCATTATTGCTTCGATGTACAACTACCACATCGCACAACCCAGCAATTACTAATCTCTTGTATTTTTGTTAACACACCCTGTTTTTATCATGCTTTTCTACTTGTTAGTCAATATACTTGGAATTCTCTTATTCACTTAGTAAATGTCTCACCAATAATTTTTAAAAATCAGCTTAGATCTAATAATCACCAAGAAATCTCCCCATGAAAAGAAACTTTTCCCCACAAAGTATTAATTCTTGTACTTGTGCTATTCCTATATCTAGTTTATAATTCCATTACTGCATATGTCACAATAAATGATAATTTGTTTAAATGTCTGGTTCTCTACCTAAACAATCCTCAAAACAACTATATTCATTTTATGTCTAGCACACAACTGATACCTTAACACTTGGAGTGCGGGAAACGAGTTAAGTCGGCTCGCGTGAATTGCGCGTACTCCGCGGGAGCCGTCTTTAACTCGGTTCATATAGATTTGCGGTGGAGTGCGGGAAACGTGTAAACTCGGGCCGATTGTAACTGCGTATTACCAAATATTTGTTTGTAATCCACCCTTTTGGTGGATGGAACAAAACCAAAAGACAGAGCCATCTTATATTTTGGCGGGAAATTCACCCGCACTCCAATTAAGATTAACTGAATCATATGAAGAATTTTTAAAAATGAAGTACACCTACAAAATATGAAGTTAATAAAAAAAAATTACTCTCCCTCTGAAAACTGCCAAGCCTTGGACAATTTGTGTTAAAACCTTCACTCAAATCAATTTTAGTCTCAAATTTCTCAAGGGACTGAACTTGCTCTGGCTACCCAAATTCATTTTCATAAGCCACGTAATGTACTTACCAAATGTGTACTAACACGCGTTTGCCACATGTCAACCTGCTTTGGTGTGAGATCAGGAATTGATAGTCCTAACCTGGCAGCCAAAGCTTCGACGTAGCCTGCAAGTCTTCAAAAAAGACACGAGGACAGAATATAAGTTGTTAAAGTCCTCAGGTAGTAAAAAACAAATTAATACAAAGAGAAACAAGATAGTTTTATACCTGTAATTAACTGGCACTCTAGAAATGGTGTCAACATTTTCATAAACATTTTTGTGTATAAATTTTTATTGTGTATAAATATATCCAGTTTAAAACTATTTTCATATTACTATATTTAATACATAGGTAAAGTAATTGACTTAGCAAACTTATTCTCTACCATTACTTTTAAAAGATTAATTCAAGGTATAGAAATGTTTTACAACAATTTCAATTTATGCACTTATTCTACATTCCAAGTAAAGCACTTTAACATATGATATAAATTAATAACTATCATCAGAAAGCAAAAATTTCCAAATTTACCAGATAGATATAATAAGAAAAACAGCCTAGAATTTTCATAACAATTTCAAGTATTTATCAATTCTAGTTCACCTTCACTTATTGGATACTATCTTACTTTATGAACTGTAAGGAAAAAATGCCAATTAAACTATGCATACCATTGATTATGGGATGGATCCCAATGTCAGGTATGTTAAATCTAAAAAACTGTGCATCTAAGAATGGATAAAATGTGGTGTTTGTTATTTAATGATATTTTTAAAAGGCAAAGAAGAAATAGTTCTTTAAAGTCTCCCAACAAAATCTTTATCGCTAACAAAAAATAATTGTTTTATGATGCAATCTAAAATGAAGCAGCCTTACAATGTATTAGATCATTTAGTTCTATTAAATATAGAAAGCTATCACAGCAGCTGTAATACCATTACTAACCTTAGTATTGGAAACCGGGAAAGGTAATGTTTGAAGGATGATATCATTATGGATTTATCCCAGAAATTCCAGGAATGTAAAATTTTTGCCTTGGCCCCAAAGCAAAGAAACTCTGTTTTTAATGGTAGCTTTGGCCCCAACTGCAGCACAAAAGTCTAACATGTAGAGTCAGACCAATTATAAAGCTGCCTTTGCCTAGAGACTATAGGGCTAAGTAGACTTCTATTAGCCCCAAATCCAAATTCCAAAACTTACCACTCCCATGAACCAAGGAAGGAAGAAACAAAACCAAAGACTGAGTATGAGAGTATGCGTGTCACTATAATTAATGCCAACTTAGCCTAATTGATACTTCCCAAGCTTCCCCAGGCTCAGGAGGCAGCCCAGCCCATTTGCCACTGGGAAGTAAGAGTGTAAAAGTAGAAAGAGAGAAAACTGGTCTTTTCTAAGTAGACAGTTTGTTTCATCATTCCTGCCACAGGGAGTAAAGAAAGCAAACACATGTATGCTTTGGCCATTATTCCTTTAGAAAGTTCCTCTCTCTAGAGAAAACATGCCCAGTCAGTAGCCTCACCTTTGAGCCACATCTCTTATTTTGGGGCTTAGTGGGAGGAGGCTGGGGTGGAATAATGGTAGGGGTTCTTACTTTTAATCCTGTCTCGGCCTTGGAAATGTCTATAAAATACATACATATAAATAATTAACTCTGCTTCATTATGATAGCTTCAGAAAAATTTGTGTATATGTCAGAATTTCTTGAGAAGATTATTAAACACAAATGTCAAGGCCCCATCCCAAGAAACACTCACTATGTATGACTGGGGTGTGACCAGGCATCAGTAGTCGATGCGCACCTAAGATTTAGTACTACTGATTTAGAAATTTTAAAATTTAGCTCTAAACGACACAAATAAATGTCTTTTTTTTTTTTAGCCCTCTCAATTAAGGAGAATGGAGAAGAGAAAGAGAGCAAATACGTAAAGACATGCACAAATGAATAAATGTATGGACCTACCCAAGACCAGCTAAATCTGACACAAGATTTCCCAAAGCAGCAGCTAAAAAAAGTGAAAAATGGACAAGTAAATTGTCACGTGGAAGTCATAAAAAGCATTAGAATACATCACTCTAATTAACAAAGCACTGGTCTGGAAGCGTTACCACATTTCTCAAACTAAAACAACTATATCCAAAGTAACTCATTGAATAGCTCGGAATTTCAAGATTTCATAATAGAGCACAATTCTTTTGAGATTATAGTATTCTATAATCTTCATCACGGAGCAGGGTTTTTTTTTCTGTTGTGGCAGCCAGTTTCCATTTTAGGTTCAATATTCAAACACGTGTGCAACATTTTGTAGTTGTAACTTTCAGATAATGTTTGATAAAGGGAATTTGGATATTTGGGGAAAAGTAAAGCCATATGTACAACTCCAAAATTCCAGGAAATCAAGGAGAAGAAATGTCTCTTACATTAATTCATCGACTTATGTGCTCTATACAACACACAGAACACAGAACTATCCCCAGATTTCACCATCACGAAGAATACAGTGTTAATTGAGGGGAAAGTAGAAGATAGTACCAAATTAAATTTTCCATCTTGTATTTCCTTCTTTGATTTTTCTACCCAACTTGAGAATAAATAATTTAATAGAGAAAAGGGATAGAAAGGTTTCAGGGTGACCAGTAATTAAAAGAAAAACTTTTTATTAACATAGTCAATGTAGTAGATTATTGTTACCCATCAACTAACATACTGTACCTAAAATTTCTCAGAAAAACGTAGTATTATGTACACAAAATTAAGAATTAGCCGAAACTGGTTTGGCTCAGTGGATAGAGCGTTGGCCTGCGGACTGGAAGGTCCCAGGTTCGATTCCGGTCGAGGGCACGTGCCTGGGTTGCGGGCACATCCCCAGTAGGGAGTGTGCAGGAGGCAGCTGATCGATGTCTCTCTCTCATCGATGTTTCTAACTCTCTATCTCTCTCCCTTCCTCTCTGTAAAAAATCAATAAAATATATTTACAAAAAAAAAAAGAATTAAAGGAATAGGATTTAGGAGATAAACTAGTAGACATTTCAATGAGTAAATGCATTCAAATAAATTATCCCCTTCTATACTTAACCTACTGAAATGTTTTTAAATATACAGATAATAGAATATTATTATTATTAAATACCTGCCATAGTTGAAATTCCCAAAATAATTCCAATAGACATTTCAATATGGGTTCCCTGAAAAAAGATTACAAAGAAATTAATCTTAAAATATTAAAGCTCTGCTGACTATAAAAGAATAGCAAAGCATTAATAAAAACAGATAAAGTAGTCAAACATGTTATTGCAGCAAAGTTATAAAAATATGCAGTAATATGCATATATAATGCAGTAATTCACTTAATTACTAAGGATATGCAATATGCAGAAATAATATCAATATTTCTTCATTAAAATTAGGCTTTCAGAAAAACAAAAAATACCAACACAGATACAATACAATTCATCATTAAGAATCTAAGATTTATATTTTCTTATCACAGAGAAAGGTGCTCTAAAGCTCTTTGAGCACAAAGTCGATAAACTCACCTAAATTTTAAATTCTGAATGCTACATCTATACTATTGTTATTTATCCTATAAAAGATTGAAAAGCCAGACTAAACCGGTATCTAGGAACCCAAAATATCATAAACTTCAAAAATTACCCTTATAACACTTAGTTCTTTAGCCATTAAGTGCTGGGACTGATTCATTTATAAGTAACAACAACATTTGATACAATAGAGCTAAAGCAAAAATGAGGCTCTATTGTATTTCCACCGCATTTATTTATTGAGAGAGTTTAAGACTTTCCACATCTCACTCCTCTGAAGAAAAGAGGAGCTCATATTTTTATTTCTACTTTAAAGAGAAGGAACTGAAGTGACGAAGATGAAACTATTCTCATGGGTTATTACATAGACTAAATTAGAAATCCTAGAACCTGTCATGCTAGCTCAGTTCCAGTCCTTGGACAACGCTGCCATAAATGGACATACTTTTCAAAAGCCCTCTTGAATACTAAGAATGCTTGAACATTTAAAAAATCTCCATGATGTTTGTGGAGAAAAGAGAATGCCCTATGTGGTATGTAGAAATACTGCGTTAATCAATTATTTCTAAAACTGAAGAGAAGCTGCGTTAAGCTTTCCTCAGTTTTCTTTCCCCGAGGCCTTTTGGTCCCACCTCTTTAAAATCAGTTCTTATAGACTATGGCCCAGACAGCCTGATGCACAACAGTCTCCTAGGAACTTAAAATTACAAGGTTGTAAAGGTACCCAAAGAAAGAGATTTCCGAAGAAGGAAAACGAGAACCGGCACAAAGAAAAAAGGTGTGTCTCTTTATATATGGATACAAACAGCAACAACAACACTGGGGCTTTGATATAGAAGAGACGCACCTGACAGTTACGGAGCATGGAAAATAAATACAGCATCGTTAACAGCAGTGCGTCACTAGGAATGACCCAAGAAGAATCTGTTTGCAATGCAGTACATGTATTTAACAAGTATTTAAGTGTGTAATCGTTTGATTAAATTTAAGGAACCTGAAGGTCCTTCTAACAGCATAAAAAGCCTCATATAAAGTCAGTCAGTTTGAAGGCAACAGACTATCCATGCCTTTACTTTTTTCCCGTAGTTACATCAACATAGTTTCCTGTTAGCAGGTGAGTTGGAAATCATAAACAAATTTAATACTAGTTGTCTTACAGGTTATACGTGGTTCATCACCTGAATATAATTAATCTACTCTAGAATTCTAATAAATGTTATACTAGTTAAATTGCCAGAAAAATAATCCCCAAATCCACTAGGTTACAAAAGCAACCCCAATAACATAAAAATAGAATAAAGAGCTTTAAAACCAGAAGCTTAGTATGATTAGCAGTCAACAATAAAGGTCAAATCTATTACAAGAAGTTACATACAAATTTGTTTTTATTAGTACAACTAGGGCAGCAGCAGCCCAGAGAGTACACCTAACCGGAAGAAGAAAATATCAAATGTCTATGGCATGATAGAAAAGCAGAATCAAATATCTTAATATCGTAAAACAGACAGAGCTGTCCACAACGTTAGGAGGCAATCAGTGTTTTTTTTAAAAAGTAAAAAAATTCTTATGGAGGTAGGTGGGAGCCGGGTGGAGGGGGACAGTGAGGGAAAAGAGGGGGGACATCTGTAGTTACTCTCAACAATAAAGATACATTAAAAATATTTTATGATAATAACGATCACTGTTTCCCTTTGCATAGATCCTAGAGTTATATTATTTATGTATATTAATCTCAGCAGTGTACTACAAAGCCTCTTTGGAAAACTTCACTGTCCCTGAATTAGTTTGCAATTATCACAGGAAGCTATTTTTTGCCACACCTATTACTCTCAATCAGGTATTGAAGTCAGTGATTTAAATATTTATTTTAGTATTATACAAGTGATAACCTGGTGATTAAGTCCCTGAAAGTGGATTTCAATGTAAACTAGAAAAACAAATAATACTAAATTACTGAGCCATCTGGGGCCTGCAAAAATAAGTCACTCTCACTTATACTACTAATGAGATGCAGGCCTGAGTCACACTGAATCGTGAACATTAGTACAGTAATTTGACTCTAGAATGTGGGTGTTTTGTTTTGTTGGTAGCTCTATTTAAACACAGATATGTTACTTTAAATATTTATATCGAAGAAATAATAAGATCTTTGGTGAAGGTCTTATTCAGGATCTAAAAAGCTACTCAATTTTCCTATTCTGATCTCCCTTAGCCCCTTAATGCAAAATATATCATCTCAACATGTCCCTGTAGCGAGATTAGTCTTTCAGCATTTGAATATCTAAGGTCTGCCCTACTGAGGTGGAAAAATTATTATTAAGATGTCAGTAGGGGGGCAAGTAGCTGTTAATAAAAAGAATCTAAAAGATTGAGTCATGTAAAATTGAAAGAAATATTTGCCACAGAGAAACTTTAATTCAGACAATCTATTCAAGAAACACATCGAGTCTTATCTATATATATAAAAGCCTAATACGCAAATTGTCCCTTGCTGAGTTCAACTGGGAGTTCGATCACTCACTATGACGTGCACTGACCACCAGGGGGTGGTGCGGAGCGAAGGGAGGCCCTGGCCGGCAGCCGGAAGGCCCAGATGGGCCCTGATCGCTGGCCAGGCCTAGGGACCCTACCCATGCATGAATTTCCTGCACCGGGCCTCTAGTAGCTTATAAATTCATCATAACGAGGTTTTTATACAATTATATTTGACTTACATTAACTATTTAAATAATCTAACCAACTCAGATTTTAGTAATTTCAGAAAAGACAGTGTAGCTCTAAATGGCTGTCTCACATTCATAGATATATAAATTGGCCAATTTGATTCTTATGTACATATTAGGAAAATGTTGAAATCAGTAAAAAAAACTAGCATTTTGAAATCACATTTTAGAAGCTTTTGCCAGAATACTCTGCGAAGGAATTATCCAATGGGTGTTATCACCTTCAAGTTGTGTGCACGTTAGAGTATCTTCTGTGACTATTTACGAAACAGGATACTTTCTGCTGTGTGAACCCTGTTAGTTCCCCAACCAGGGGGATGGCTAGACTTTTTGGATATCTCATTTCCATGAATCTGGACATAAAATGAGACTATATAGCAAAAGAAAAACAAAACAAAAACATTCTTGAATGAACCAATTTTAGATATTTTCTAAGCAAATTTTGTAATCTACACAATGTAAATTATCCTTTTATCCCGATTTTGAAACCAAATATTCTATTTATGTCTACATGGAGTAGGACATGTGACCTCCAAAACACCAAAAAAAGAAGCAAAAACAAACCTTGTATCTCTCATATGTATTTTCCTCACATTCAATAATCCAAAAATCGTTACTTTTTTTAAAGCCTCCTACATAAAGCTAGAATTTATAGATTTTAATTAAAGTTAAAGTCAGTGAAGAGAAGTGAATAGAGCACTTGGGTAGTTTCAAAATAGTTGCATTTTAATCATGGTGTTATTTCTGACTTTAGAATCTGAACCCAATACTGATATCCATTAACAAAAGGTGTCACATAACTGCAAAAAGGTAAATCGGCCATTCCTGACACTAACTTTTAAAGAACACCCTTACATTAAAATGACCACGGCAAAGGAAAATTCTTTTTTACCCATTACAATGGAACAAAGACAGAAGGGATATATATTCACAGTGCTCTGAATTGAAATTTATAACATCGTCCAGTTAAATGGATAGATAGATTATATCAAAACATCCTTTAAAACAGCGGTTCTCAACCTGTGGGTCGTGACCCCTTTGGGGGTCAAACGACCCTTTCACAGGGGTCGCCTAAGACCATCGGAAAACACACATATAATTACATATTGCTTTTGTGATTAATCACTATGCTTTAATTATGTTCAATTTGTAACAATGAAAATACATCCTGCATATCAGATATTTACATTACGATTCATAACAGTAGCAAAATGACAGTTATGAAGTAGCAACGAAAATAATTTTATGGTTGGGGGTCATCACAACATGAGGAACTGTATTAAAGGGTCGCGGCATTAGGAAGATTGAGAACCACTGCTTTAAAACATTTTTTGGTCATGGCCGTATGCTCAATGGTTAGAGTGTCAGCCCTTGAACCAAAGGGTCTTGGGGGCTCGATTCTGATCAAGGGCAGGTACCTGAGTTTCAGGTTGCCTGCCCCGGGTGGGGTGCCTGCTGGAGGCAACCAGCTTATGTGGCTCTCTCACATTGATGTTTCTCTCTCTGTCTCCTCTCCTCCCCCTTCCACTCTCTCTAAAAAATATATCAATGGAAAAAATATCCTCCAGTGAGGAATAACCATAAATAAATAAATAAACAAACAAACAAACCACAACATTTTTGCATGGGAAAATTAAATAAGGAACTAATCAAATAACATACATGTGATGTAAACTGCTGATACAATTAAAGAACATAAGAAAATTTTACATACATTTTTCTTTAATATGAATGTTGAAACCAGAACAGAATAATATACTCAATCAATGTGTTTGTTATTGTCAATGCTTTACCAAAAGTCATGATTAACATACATGATGCTTTAAAATTGAGCTAGACTAGAGCCTAATTAACATAAAACATAGTAAAAAAAAAAGCTTCATTTATTATGTTAATTAAAACTTTACAGCTACAATATGCAAATTATTAGAAAAATTTAGACCGCATAAATTTCTTTATTAGCTCAAAATAGAAGGGGTAAGAGAAAGAACTTACTGCAACAATCATAATTGCATTATCCAAAAAGCCAAACCCTACGAAAGGTATCGCATTGTGGATGAATACTGAAAAACATCAAAAACAGAAAAATATATTTTAAGATTTCTATAATTTTAAAATGACAAAAATAGACCATATGATTAAAGTCTCCTCAGTAAGCTTTGGAATTTGCTTGCCATTCCCCATAGCCAGAAGATTCTTCTACTCCTACTGTAAGTTTAGCTACTTAGTAGAAGCTATACTGAGACAAATAAAAAACAAAATAAAAAATCCGTAACTTGTAAAAACAATCGTGTTAGGCTTTTGTGTTTTCTTACTGGCAGCACATACAAATTATATATAGTTAACAGCAGAACAAATAAGTAAATACATATTATGAATATCATGTTTTTTCCTGTTTAATTGATATTGACATTAATCTGTTTCTCTCTTATACCTAAAGACTGATATCATAAAATTGATCTCCACATTAGAAATAATAAAAACATTCCCTGAATCAAAGTTTAGGGAAGCTGTTTGGTCACTTTTAAATAATTGTTTTAAACAAATGTTAGGAAAACGTGATTATTTCATCTATATTAGACATTTACATTCAGAAATCTTTTTCTCCTTCACAATACTTCAGTATCCCTGAATGCTTTCACAAACTATAATAAAACCATCCTATTTAAATCAAAATGTAACTTGGCCTCCTCCTACCAAAGGCACACTTACCTCATCTATCTAGTACACGATCTGAATAACCTGAGATAATAGAGGTGTAACGAGGAAGAACTAATACCTATATGTTTTTGATACATTTAGCCTCATTTTTCTAGTTCTAGATGGTAACATATTTAAGCAATAATAGATATGGTCAACAATATTAGAAATGTCTTAAACCGAGTTTATACATTTTTTGCTGTGGCATAATAAATAGGACAACTCACTCTGTCTAGAAAGATTTAATGTACTGACTCTTGTACTATCAATAAATGATATAGTTATTTCAAGTCCAAGATACAGATGCACAATATTTAACAATTATAGAGCCTTTACCGTATCTCAGCTGTTCTGGGGTGGGTGGCGCAGCTTCCAATTTTTCTAAATGGGAAGAAGAGGGTGTGGGGCAAGAATTAGTTACGATGGCATGGTCTCTTTTTTTATTACAATGAAGAAAACACCAGCAGATTTACAAAGCTAGGAAAATATCAGAGTTTATTCATAAATTATCTTTCGGTTAGTGGACCTAAATTAGCCATACAGAAGATGTTACTTGGTATGGATTAAATACAAGGTTGGAAAACAAAACTGAGCGTTAGTTACAAGCCTGTCATGGAGTCTATAACCCTGAATAAATCATTTGCTTTTTGTTTTTTAAGTCCTTGCATCTATGTAACAAGCCTGTTTACATTCATTGCAGTTTTCAAAATTTCAAAAATAGCCCTGGATCATGTGGCTCAGTTGGTTGAGCGTTGTCCTGTGCACCAAAAGGTTCAGCTCTGGTCAGACAGAGCACATGCCCAGGTTGCGGGCTCAATCCAGATAGGGGCCCCAGTAGGGGTGCGTGTGAGAGACAGCAGATTGATGTTTCTCTCTCACATCAATGTTTCCCTCTCTCTCTCCCTCTCCCTTTCTCTAAAAATCAATAAAAACATTTTTTTTAAATTTCAAAAATATAGCTACCCTTCTTAAAGATGGTAATCCTAGGTAACTTAAGAAATTTACATGCAAGTGAGCACTGATACTGGAAAAAAGAATGTTCAGCCCTAGCGGGTTTGGCTCAGTGGATAGAGCATGGCCTGCAGACTGAAGGGCCCCGGGGTTCGATTCTGTCAAGAGCACATGCCTGGGTTTCAGGCTCCATCCCCATTAGGGGGCATGCAGGAGGCAGCCGATCAATGACTCTCTCATCATTGATGTTTCTGTCTCTCTCTATCCTCTCCCTTCCTCCCTGAAATCAATAAAAATAAAAATATTAAAGAAAAAGAATGTTCAAATAGGTCCAAATATCCTTTAAAAATAGTAAAATAATATTTTAAAGCAATATATTACAAACAATGATTGTGTCCTGTTCTTTAATCTCCCTTGATGATATACTAAATATTTTGAGTTTTGAAACCTATACTACCAGGTAATATAGAATATCCTACACAATAAAAAAAGGAGGATGTTATTCAACAAGTAACAATATACTATTTATAATATATGTCATAATAAACACACAAAGTTTTCCCAAGTATATGTCAAAGTAAATATCTTCAAGTGACATCATTAAATCTAAAAATTAACAATAATTACAAAAAAAGCAAGCTATCAAATCTTGTAATAATAACTATCTTGCCCTAACCGGTTTGGCTCAGTGGATAGAGCGTCGGCCTGAGGACTGAAGGGTCCCAGGTTCGATTCCGGTCAAGGGCATGTACTTTGGTTGCAGGCACATCCCCAGTAGTGGTGTGCAGGAGGCAGCTGATTGATGTTTCTCTCTCATTGATGTTTCTAACTCTCTATTCCTCTCCCTTCTTCTCTGTGAAAAATCAATAAAATATATTTTAAAAAAACAAACCATCTTACGCCCAGCTGGTGTGGCTCAGTGGTTGAGTGTCGACTTATGAACCAGGAGGTCCATGGTTCAATTCCCAGTCAGACTCAATCCCCAGTGGGGGACATGCAGAAGGTAGTCGATCAATGATTCTCTCTCATCATTGATGTTTCTATTTCTCTCTCCCTCTCCCTTCCTCTCTGAAATCAGTAAAAGTATATATTTAAAAAAATAATAATAATAACCACCTCACCATTTATATAAGCACAAGAATAGGCTATGGTAAAATGGCAGATAAGTCTACCTTCTTCGTCCTCATCCAACCCCACAGAATTAATCAATAACCTATAGAGAAGAACCCACACCATGTATTACTCTGCTCTACGATTTAATACAACCAGATTTTCCAATGAAACACATTACAAACTGGATATACACTTTCTAAAATATTTATTTATAATCTATGACAATGTGAGAACTAAATAAATCTTTATATATAAGCTATATAAAAATGTATGGTTCATATTTGTGAATGCTATTTTATTTAAAAATTATAATACCATCTGGCTTTATAATAAGAAACACACTAAAACCTAGAGTTTAATCAATTATTGTATTATTCATAAAGTTCTAAGAATTCAACTTTAAGGTTCTTGCCCTCTTTTAGAAGGGTTAAGAAATAAAGATATACTAATCTTTGTAGAGTTTTACATTTGATTAAAATATTTTCTCTATACTTTGACTTGAGCTATTATTTCAAAATTTACCTTTAAGGTATGCAAATAGTTTTCCAATTTTTAAAAAGGAATGCAGACTACCACTGTAGTCCACAGAGTTTTCTGGTGAAGTAGATAGAACTATTTGCTGGCTGCATTACTCTACCCATCACTCCAGGTTGGACACTGCGTGAGGTCCTTGTCAGTGAACTAGAACATCTTGAAACATCTAAAAATTCATCCAGCAGGACCTTCCCAGTAGCTAAGAGTATATAGTGTCCTTGCTTTTACTTCTTCAAATTCCCTACATACTGACCAAAATATTTAAAATATTTTACAACTCCTAAGGTTTAGGACCAGGTGAATGTATAATGTGCAGCAGTAGAAAGAAAAAAAGCAAATAATATATATAGTATCCTAGTCTTTCTGACTACACAAGAGGATTAAAAAATTAAAGGTAATAAAAAATAATCTTTTTAAAGAAATATAAAGTAAAGGAGATAGAGCAGAAAGAAAACCACTGGCACGGAGTTGAATGTAAAATCAAATCACAGATTCTGCCTCCTGCTTCACAAAGAACCAAAGGAATAATAAGAGGAAATATGAAAGGAACATTTCCTAGAAAGTGGAAATTTTCTGCAAAATATAAACTTTATGGAAAGTAGCCATCAAAAATTTTAATTATAATTTGATTATTTTGAGGACTTTGACACTGTAAGTTATCTTCTTTACTATATTAACTGAATCAAAACAAAATATATATCAGAAGTAAAAAACATTAGATGTAACAACGGAACTCAACCTTGAAAATAAACCCAAGGTGCCATCAAAATATACCGGTTTTAAAATGCAATGGCTGCTAATACAACCTCCCTGAAAATAGTCACAATAAACGCTAGAAGTTTTATTTCCCTACATAGGTATCTTAACCTTAGGAATTTCCTTCTGACATAGGTAAACTATCTACACTTACACTGGAAATGTATTCTAATCTAAAGTCAGCAGCAGACTTTGCGGTCAGAAAAACCAATTCTTTCCATTACGGTGTGTGTGTTATATACATCATAATTTCTCTATTCTTTTCCTGAATATTTTTAAATAATATGACATTAAGATTGTACTTCACCACACACCATATTTTCCAACTATTTTTACCTAAAAAATTCTGGTCCTATTTCTAACACTGGCTGAATAACCTTCTATCAAACCAATCCTTCTGCCTAGAACAACTCTAAAGTATAAATTAAAATACAATATAAACAAATAACCAACCAAAAGCGTTAAAAAATGACCAAAAATAGGTTGATTCTGGAAAGAAATCAACACTTGGAATTCTGGAGGAATGGTATTAAATGAATTGCCTGTTTGTTGCAGCTTTGGGCCTAAGGGCACGCCTCAATCCACAACCTGTAGGACAACTCAAATGCTAATATGTTCAGACTTTCTGGTCTGAAGAAGCAGTGAACATGGTACAAAGTAACAAAAGCCACCAGAAAGTAAGAGGTGAATCCTGGAAAAAAACAGAGTCGGAATGGAGGAGTCCTAAATTCTATATACCAGTACATTCAGTTCAAATATATGGCTGATCCATGAGCCACACACACGTGGCAGGGAAAACCCCCAAAATCCTAGCTAAGGGTAAAATAACTAAAGATTTAAACTGCAGCCCAAGAGTTTGTAGTTTAAGCCGAACCATTAATGGCCTGCTACAACAAATGTTAAAAATCTATATTTTAAAAAATAAAACAGAATCCAGAGTCTCTGTTAACATAATAATCACAGCAATGACTAGGGTACAATTCAAAATTACTTCATGAAGAAACAGGAAAACATGACTCAGTCTCAGGAAAAACAATAGATGGAGACCAATCGAAAGTAATTCAAGTATTAGAAGTAGCAGACGAAACTACACTCAAAATTATACTGAAGGCGTAAATGAAAATATGCTCGAATAGAAATTATAAAAAACAGAACCCAATTAAAGTTTGAGAACTGAAAAATACATTTTCTGAAATTTTAAAATTAATTGAAAAGGCTTAAAATCCAAAGGGAGGTGACAGAAGAAAAAGTTAGTGAACATCAATATAAGATCACAAATCCAGGGAAAAATTCAAAATCATTTATAATAGACGCAGTAAATACCAAAGCAACTTCACCCTGAATGACATAAAAGGAACAGTTTAATGCACACACTAGTCCTTTAATTACAAAAAAACAAATACTCTTTAAGTGGCAATTATCTACTTTCTGACCTTTTGACCACCTAATAATATCTGCTCCAGGCCCCACCCTACCATTTTCTCAATAAAGTATAGGCGTAGACTTGGCCACACCAATCACTATTTGGCCTAATGAGAGATTTATTAAAAAGACAGAGATGAAGCTACCATGTTTAAGAAACAATTTGGGGGCTATATTCCTGAACATTATAAATAACTGCTTAGACTTTTAATAGAACCAAAAGTTCCAATGGATAAGGTAAAATTTATAATAAATATATAACATTAAAAAAATACAAACTTGAAGTACAAACCATGCTGTATGCAAAACAATTTAAGCAAATCATATTAAATGCCAAAAAGAAGACATGCACCCAAAGGAGGTTTATGAAGCTACACAGCAGTATTTTAAAATAAGTTAATATGGCTCAGAAACATAAAAACTGACATTCAAAACTGAAAAAACTCTTTAGAAACAGCAAGGAACTTAACTTTTTAACTTAGTAAATTTCAATCAACAGGTTTTGTCTTTTAAAATTAAGACTATAATTATAAAAGGATTTTTAAATTATTTTTAAAAATATATATGCTTTGGCTAAGACACCCCCCCCTCCCCCGTCTCCCAAA